CCTGAGAGGAGTCAGAGGGGCCGGCCACATTCCACACTGGAGCTGCCGGGTCGGGTGGTAGCCTCACCGGTCCGGCGGCACTCCTGTCACTGATGCTGAGGAGTGAAGAAGGAGGAGGGAGGAGCATGTCTCTGTACCATGCTCCCTCACGGTTCCTGTGCTGGGGATTGTGGGAACTGCAAGGGAGCATGGTACAGAGATATGCTCCTCCCTCCTCCTTCTTCACTCCTCAGTATCAGTGACAGGAGTGCCGCCGGACCGGTGAGGCTGCCACCCGACCCGGCGGCTCCAGTGTGGAATGTGGCTGCCAGCCCACGGGCCCCCTCAGAGTGTGTGCCACCAGACCCGCCACCCGGTGGCACATACATGCTCAGCGCAGCCCCCAGATGCCACGGCCCACCAGGAAATTTCCCGGTATCCCAGTGGGCCAGTCCGGCCCTGCTGCCCTTTAGTTATTCATCCAAGGTACACTTATCCACATTAAATGTCAGTTGCCACAGCTCTGACGATTTTTCTAATTTATCTAAATAACTTGCCATTTGGTTCATCCCTCCTGGAACATCAACCCTATTGCAAACCAGCAAAAAGTGTTTTTAAAATGTGCAGCAGAGGAGGTAGATCCCACTCTCTGGAGAAGCATGTTTTGTTTTGTGCTAAAAGCACATGTGCCAATAATTCAATGCCATATTTACTGAGGCAAACTTCCCATGAAGTATAGCCATTAGCTACACTCCAGCTCCAATACTGGAACTATACAACTTACTTAAATGCTGATCAACAACCTCCTAAATGTGACCTATTTGTTAATGTTATTAGGAACTGCATATATACCAAAACCACCTTTACTTTACTTACTTACTATCCAGAGATCTGGCTAAGATCACTCCAGTCTGCTCTCTTGTCTTATCGGTTTGAACCTCTGTGTGTATAACCAATCCTTTCCTATTTCCTCCTAAATGCTTAGGAACAACAATACAATGAAAGCAATGACTTATAAAAATATAAAATAAAAGCAATATAAAATATTGCAAAAAAACACCCAAAAAGCTATAAGTTTGCAAAAAAATATGTTAAAAATAACAATAAATAAAGCACTTCATTCTGTGGTCACCATGTAGAAATCACAAATGCTATAATGCAGCACACCAGAAATGTAAGCCACGCCCTCTGTTGGTAAAACTGAATAATGCATTTATTTGTATAATTGCAATATGCAAATTAGGAAACTGCAAACAATATCCAGCTAAATCTGTTTATTTTTTTACATATGTTAGCAAGTTGTTGTTGTACCTTATTTTTAATACCATATTATGATCTGACTTGCTTTCAGGCTGAATTATTCACTGGTCACAGAGACATATTAAGAAAGAGCAAGGTCTGAGAGATGCAAATGTCTTTCTAAAGGCAGTAGTTGGAGGCGGAATAGGCAAAGAGGGTTTAATGCATGGCTGTGAGAATTAAGCACAGGCAGATAAATCGATACCTGCCTGGGAAATTAGGCACAGGCAGAGGCGTCAATACCAGCCTGGGATGTTAAGCCCACCTGGGTAGATATTGCTGTGAGTTTGACCCGGTTTTGGTAAAGATCTCTTTCCGTTGATAGACCCCCATCCCTGGTGGCATTTTGTAACCGTCATACCATATCATAATAGGGTGTCACCTCTTATCCAGAGTTTTTACATGAGTACATAGAATCAAAATAACAACCATATATATAGTTATCATTACAAGAGAGCCCTTGATATTTGACTTGTTCTTGGTTGTTGTTTTGATCCCATGTACACATGGCAATAAATATATATATTTATACATGGGTATTCATGCCATAGAAATGACAGAGCTAAAAGAGGAGGTGGCATTGTCATTTATGTTGACAATTCCATAAAGCTTAACCCCTTACAAATTTTAGCCTTCCTGCCACCTTTGATTTCCTTTCTGGCACAATTGAGATCCCGTGCAGTAAATCAATCATTGAATCTACCACCCACCTAGCTCC